TGTATGAACACATTTGTGTCACCTTTTAAGTAACCCTAATTTTCTCATTTCACGTTTTGATTGTTCAGATGCACGTTCAAAGAATGTCACAATTCATCTAATAAACTAAATTTGTTGACGGTTTTTTTTCCTACATAGATGTCGCTAATTTTGTGAAACACGGGATTAGAATAAAAGATTTTTCTTTTAATTATTGATTTCAGTACAAAAAGCCCTAAGATGTGATTTTATTTTAAAGGTTGGATATTAATATGATTGAAACTGTATTTGATGGTTCTTTTATATCATGTGATTATGTACTTTGTATCATAAAAATAAAGTTTTTTCTTTTGATATCTCACCTACATATTTCCCGATTTAAATTGACATGTATTTTTTAAGTGTCTATTATGATGTAGCGCCACCTTTTGACTTATATATGAAATATACGGGTTAATTGCTGACCTGTTAGAGATGATAAGAAAATGAAACACATAACATAAATTTTCAAACTGTAATTAAAGTTGGGTTTGACTGTTTATGTGATACAGTTTGTGTAGTTTCAATATATTGTGTTTCACGATGGCATAGAGCGTTTTCTTGAAACTTAGTTCTTTAAAAAGTTATTGCAAAGTGGTTTCGAAGACATGTTTTAGATTGAAAGTATACTTTTACTTGCTTTTATATTAATTGACCATTTAAAAATGTTTTATATGGCCTGAAAACTGGACGCTTCATTTACCGTTCTAAAAAATTACGGCAAATGACAGCCCTCACGTTTGTTGTGCTTACTCATGAAAATATATTTGGAATCCTTCAGTAACTTCAGCTGTGTTTTGTACGTTTGAGTAGATATTATAGTTTAATTTCCAGCATATTTAGAAAATACTATAATTTTTGTTAACAGTACCCGAAGTAGTTAATGTTAAGGCTATATAGATAGCAGGGTAATTATTAACAGTACCTGAAGTAGTTGATGCTAAGGTTATATGGATAGTCGGGTAATTATTAACAGTACCTGAAAGTAGTTGATGCTAAGGCTATATGGATAGCAGGATAATTATTAACAGTACCTGAAAGTAGTTGGTACTATGGCTATATGGATAGCAGGATAATTATTAACAGTACCTGAAAGTAGTTGGTACTATGGCTATATGGATAGCAGGATAATTATTAACAGTACCTGAAAGTAGTTGGTACTATGGCTATATGGATAGCAGGGTAATTATTAACAGTACCTGAAAGTAGTTCATGCTAAGGCTATATGGATAGCAGGATAATTATTAACAGTACCTGAAGTAGTTGATGCTAAGGCTATATGGATAGCAGGGTAACTAGGAAATGCTTATCTGAAATGTCAACAGAAGAGCTGTTTTGCTGTAAGCTGTATTCTTAAGGGAGTCTACGTTGCTGCCGAAATGACACTTATCACTCCCAAAGCCGTGTCAGCCCAAGTTTTATCAGTTTCTGAGTCTCAGACTTCTATCGAAACAGAGAGCACGCTAATGACCCTCCTCTTTTCAGATTCAGCCCTGAACTACAGTTGCATGGCCGACGAAGATCCTGAACTTGGGTGCGGGCCCCGACGGCAACGTCGCGTGTAGATTTATCGCTCTCGCTTCGAACGAACATTAAACTCTTTCTGCAGTCTGTGTGGAACATCTTAGTTTTAGGTGTAGATGGACGCTCTGTAGGATACGTCTTGTCCACGACTAGCGAAACAGGGCCTCCACTCCGATAATACCGATCGCAACGGAGTGATAACAGAACAATTTATTCCTCACAGTCTCATAGATGTACTGTTAGAAGTTTCCTTGGTTGAAGAGACGCCACAGAAAATGTGAAACTTTGCATAAAATTAAGGGAAATTCCTTAACGTAAATAGAACAAAACAAAGACATCCCTGGGAAGTATAAGGACAAATAATGTATTATAAAAAGATACGCTTTATAAACGCAACTTTTCAAATATACTGCTTGTATTAAACTAAATATCTGTATCAGTGGATGTCTTAAAAACTGTTTGGATAAAAATAATAACTTTTATACTAAACATTTAACTACTGGCGATTTATCGTTTTTGTTAAGCTTTCTAAATGTTATTCCAGGTGTACTCTTTGATAACACCCTCTGCGCAAGTGAAGAAGGTGTATCCAGCGCCAACCTTTATGCGTTTTTTATTTTCTCTTTTTCTTTCGCTAAAATCATAACTTGAAATGATGAAAATTATGTAATTTTTTTTTAGTAGCTTGAGTCATTTTTCACGCGATTTTCTTGGCCAATGACTGCTTTTAGGTGAAATGTAATTGCTTCTGTAAGAGTTGATGTTTTCTGAACGTATTCTAAGGCTCCCTGAAGGCATTGCGCGCTATTCTCACAGTGACTATTCGAAACACCACGTAGAAACTAGAAAGGGGCCCACAGAGAAATTTAAGTTACTTTCAATGTACCTCGTTAGATAATGACGTATAAGGAGTGAAGCACCCTGGTGGGAAAAACTTGACCGTCTGAACTCGTTTTCAGTCTTTTAAAATTGCACTTATGAGTTATTGTATTTCAGGACTTTACCTGCCTATCGTATTTCTCTCTCTCTCTTTTTTTTTTTGTATCCAATGGTTTGAAGCTTGGCTGTATGTTACACTAGAAAGACGACAGTAACAAGTATGAGTTAGATATGAATCAGTCAATTGGCATCTTCTACTTTTGATTAGTATGTTATTAATAAAGGAAATACTTTCAGTGCTAAATTTATTTATAAGTTAATTGATAGTGCAAAAGAGGTTTAATCTTTATTCTTCAGTTTATGGTTCTGTGCGCTTTAAAATAGGTCACCATATTATTTATGAATATATTTTTGTCATGTTTTATGCAACCTTTTATTTTGTACTTGTTATCAGAGGAAAGTGTTCTTAATGAAAGCAAAACAAACTGTTGATGTATTTTAACATTGAGCTCAACAGATTTTAGGATAAAGTATGAATGTAAAGCGTGCAGATTTACTTTTCAATAATTGGAGTTGAAGTAACCAAAGTAACCAAACTAAGTTAAAAATTGCAACCAATGATATGTAATAATGGAAATGGTGTAATTCGATTTCCGTTAATTGTGTAAAAGTGCTACTTCATAAAATGCATTTGTAACGTCATTCTTTATTTTTAAGATTTTGAAATTACTTTTTACTGCTACCTTCCCTTGTTGGCTCAACGGTAAGTATGGTGGTTTACAACACATTTAAAAAAATTGGAAATTTTATAAACCTGCAAATTTTTTATTTATCTCGTTTGTTGGCATTTATTTATCTCAACTATGAGCAAAGGATTACTGGATATGGTAGCTACCTTTCTACATTGTAATGATAATAAACATAGCTAGAAGCTAGCTGATACGGTACATGATGATTTACTGTAGCTATTGTTTATTTGATCGCATTAATTCGAGATGTAAAATGTTAAGTTGCAGCTGGAGATTATCGTGGAGATTTGTTTGATAATATAGTGAGAATTTATAGCTTCTGTGTAACTAAGTTCTATCTCTATATAATACATAGCAATGGGCAAATATATGCCTAGACTAAGACACAACCTCCACTAAGGGCGTATAAAATTTTACTAGTAGAAAAACAGCCTTTTCAAATAAAACTTATACATTTAAGACATCTCTTTAAATAAAGCTTCGGGTCTTTTAAAGTAATTCATCTACGAATGTGTATAATAAAATTTAATATTATGTGTATTTTTTTTAACTCCTTCACTTTTTACATAATATAGGGTTTGGCTCTGTAAGGACACCAATTGTACAGTGTACAAAACAATGAGTATCTACATGTTAGTCATCTAATGTTTATCTCTTATTGGCTGGTAATTCCTGTTTCACCCTGTACGCGTTTTAAAGGAACACCAGATATTTGTAGGAAAGCTAACATCAAGGGGTAATGATAATATAGTTTTACACTAGAATCATAATGTTTTTAGCTTGCGTAAAATAAAAAAGAAACAAATGAATACCTCTACCACCTTCGTAGTACCTTACTTACTATTTTACACAAGATTTGGGTGCAATATACCAAGCCGTTTTTGTTGTAGGCAGGCAAGAGAATAAAATTTATAAATTAGAAACTGGCCGTTTTTAGAGGAATTTCTTTTTTGTATGTCTAACATACGTGCTTTTTTATATGTGTACTGTCTTAGCAGTCAATAACAAAAGCTTTAAAGTGTTGTTTGAACTGAATCTTTACTGTTAAAGGTGCTTTTTGCCCGTACTTTTTATTATGGTTGTGTGGTTCATGATAACGCAAAAAATTGGGTTTTGATACCTACGGCGGGCAGAGAACAGATAGCCCATTATGTAGCTTTGTGCTTAACGACAACAACAAAACACCCCAGTGGCACAGCGGTATGTCTGCGGACTTACAATGCTAGAAACCGGGTTTCGATGCCCGTGATGGGCAGAGCACAGATAGCTCATTGTTTAGCTTTGTGCTTAATTAAAAACAAAAAACTTTTTAATATCGTACACCTGCTTTTCACTGCGACAAAGTTTACGTAAAACATTTGCACTTAATTTCGTGAGAATTATTTCGTGGTTCCTTCGTAGTGAATGAAAAATAAAAGGCAGCTAGAGTGTGATGAAATATGACAATTCAGTGGAATTATTAAAGTCGCTGTGAAGGAAATGGTCAATGTTTTGACCAAACGACCATCGTTAGCTCAGAATTAGGTGGTCAGCGCTTCGGCCAAACGACCTTCATCGATCTTCGTGAAGACCGTTCGGCCGAAAAACGCAGACCACATAAATATATTTCCCTTACAGCGATTTTAACCATCTGTTTGTTTTCAATTTATTTGCGTTGAAAGTTATAATTTTACGACAATAAGATATCGTTTTCTGAACATTTCACGAGAACGCACATTACGAGCATACCATCGATAGAAAGTCTCAAAATTAATTATTCCAAAACAATGAAAGTCATACGAATATAAATTAAAAAAATGAAGTTAGTCATTATTTTTCTCATGCTTTCAGGTTTCAGCAACAGATCCAGACTGTGGGGTCAACGCCATGGTTAACTACACGTTGAGTGGTGGTAAAGGTACGGCCTTTTCGCGAGATTTCACAGTGCATGTTGATCGTGGGGAATTGTGTATCAGAAAAGCTTTAAACTATGAACTAAGGAATTCATACGAGATACCCGTTCTTGCGACTGATCGAGGTAAGTAGTGAGAAAATATGACTTGCATTGTAATTTTTGATTTGTATTTCACTACTTAATGTTTATTGTTAATCTTTTCAAACGGGCTAACAGTTATTATTTGGCAAATCATGGCGAATACTATCTATTACAAAATTAGTTTGAGGTGAAACTTAAAATGAGAAGAGATTAAATAATTATTATTATTATTATTAGAATACCTTTTTGATGAACTGCATCATTACTCAACTCCTACATTCTGTATCAGTTCCTAGCAGTTTGTAATTCTCTTACAGGTAATATATACAGTGCCGATTTAAATGAAATTTAGTGTTACAGAATCTCTGTGTAGTGACGCAAATGCTCTTAATAAACAGTGTCTACCAAAAATAAAGCAATATTATTAAACTAGATCAATTTTAATATGTTTCGTATATGATATATCAGAAATCATAAATGTGGGTGACGGACTATTTCAGACACCAACTAATATTCTTTGTTTCTATTGAATTTCGCGCAAAGCTACACGAGGGCTATCTGCGCTAGTCATCACCACCAACTCTTGGGTTACTCTTTTACCAACGAATTGACCGTCACATTATAACGCCCCCACGGCTGAAATGGCGAGAACGTTTAGTGTGACGGGGATTCGAACCCGCAGATTGCGAGTCGAACTCCCTAGCCACCAGGCCATGCCATGCCAGACCCAAGTAATATTATAATAATTACCTGATTTTGAGAGGATTAACGCCAATTTAAACATGTCATTAAGAACAGAGATTTGCAAAATTAGCTAGTAGAATCTTTGCTGTAATCTTTCTTGAATAATGAAGTGTTTTGATACATTCAAATGTTCCTTTTTTAGTAGTAACAAAATCAGTCACATTACAACCTTACGGGCTTATAGTTATATTGAGTACACAAAATAAATCATTTTTCTTTTATCCCTCATTAAGGTAGGTCATACTCGACGAAAGTGCTAGAATTTTATCATTTCCTACATGTGATTTACCAAAAATTTCAAAATACTCAATTAAACATATACAAGCGTAAGAAATAGCTGCACTGTGTGTTTGTTAAACACTCAAACACATATGAAGCTATAAATTAAACAATGAGAGAGTTGTTGTTTTACTTTTATAGAAGTCCAGTAAAAGTTCTGTCCAAATTGTTTCTGCTTCTTGTAGAATGCAGACAGTGTAATAACTAAATAGTTAAGAAACTGAATGCACTAGGGTCATGGGGAAATATAAGATATAAAGGAATATATATTGGAGCTGTGACAATTTTAATGGCATGATTGCCATCCAAGTAAAATAGGGCATGATCATAGCAAATATATATTTCTGAAAAAACTGATAGGTAAACTACTAATCTATGGAAAGTATTTGCGCTACAGAGTTTTTTTATACATTTGTTTAATAAACGAACTTAACTGATTTTAAGACTAATGTTATATGTACATAATAACTTTCATATTTTTGTTGCTGTTGTTTAAGTTAATTATTTTGACATCTGTAAGTGTAGTATTAATTGGCACTGCAGGAGATTTACATTTTTCATCGTTTTTCAGGAGGATTAAGTACGACAGCTATGATTAAAGTGCAAGTTATTGATGTCAATGACAATAAACCAATTTTTTACCCTGGAGAATACAACGTTAGTTTAAGAGAACAAACCGACTTTCCATCTCCTGTTGTTGTAGTTGTAGCTAGTGACTCAGACTCCGACATTTTTGGGCATATTACTTATCACATTGAATCTGGGAACAACGAAGGGCTTTTTAGGATTGACAAAAATACTGGTTAGTATTCAAAAACGTTCGTTTTGTTATTCAGTGCAAACTTACAACCCTATACAAAAATTCAAACTTATCTGAGAATAGATATGTTAGAATTAAAAATATATACAAGTTTGCTAGTGTTAAGTGGAAAGGGGTATGCAGTATTTAAAGCAGGCAAAAATATATAAATTTTATTTTTAAAAATCTTTATATCATAATTTCTGTAATGTCAGCTTCTTAATTCAACTTAATATTCTGTTGTTGTTGTATTTTTTTTAAATTTACTTTTTTTGCAGCCAGTTATATTATAGATTGTTCCTTTCTATAGCCCCTCAGTTGAAGAACTTAACTTTATTCGTTTATTTTTCAAAAGGTAACTTTTGGTAAAAAAATGTCTTTGTTTGTCATAAAATATATTTATTGTTATAATATTCTCTTACTTACCTATATTGTATGCTAACAAAATCAAATGGTTCAATGTAAGTTAATGTACATCAAAAGCTATTTTTTGTGAAAAAGAGCCTTTGATACTCCTACTTGAGAAGAAAAAAAAATAGAAACCTCAAGGGTTGAAGCAAATTAAACAAAGTTGAATATTTCTTTTAGGAGAGATTTTTGTCACAAGGCAACTGGATACAAATATTCAGATGCATCATCTAATTATATCGGCCACAGATGGGGGAGGTTTCATTTCTGACACCAATGCTCATGTCTATGTTAGTATACTCAACCCAAGCCAACAACCACCAATATTTGAACAGGCACGATATAGTTTCTCTGTAAGAGAAGATGTTTCTGCCCAGACTGTAGTTGGTACTGTTCTAGCTACCAGCACTGACCAAGGTACAATAATTTAAAAAGGTTAAGAAAACTGGTTGTTTGTAAAAGCATAAATAAAGATCTTTCTCCACTAATAAAAGTGTTACTATTACATTGTTGTGATCAAAATAATGTTGAAATATGTTTTGTTTATAGTTTGTTTTTTCAAATTAAGATTCAAACAAATTACTTTACATAATCAAGGAAAGCAGTCTTTCTATATTTTAAAATTGAGCTTATAAAATTCCAGGAGGAATTATAAAGGATACAGATATATATCTTTTACAAAAATGTGACCAAATTGTGTTTAAAAATTATAATCAGTTATATGTAAAGCTGGTAATGGTAATGTCTACAATTTTATTAGTGATGCCCAAGAGAAAATTTTAACTATATTTTAATGTTTTTCAATTTTAGATAGTGAAGGGATCAAATACTCCATCTATTCTGGAGATCCTGAGGGCTACTTTACAATTAATCCTGTTTCAGGATCAATTGCTACCAGAGGAAGTATTGACCATGAAACTCATCCAGTTTTGTTGCTCAATGTCCAAGCAACAAGTGGACATCCTCCATCATATGGGCATACACAAGTCAGTAAATCCTACATTAGCAAAATAACATATTTTGTTTGCTTTTCTAAATAAAAATATTTTTTTTTTAAATTTTCTCATAATAATTTGGGAAAACATGTGGGCCACCATACTTTGTGACATTTCTTGGATATTGTTCCTAAATATACATTCTTTGGAAGTTGATATTTTTGAAAATGCATATTAGTTCAATTTGTTTTTCTTTAGGAACATGTTCTTGAATGTATATAAATGTGGTCAGTCCTGTGATTTTGAAAACTTTAATAGAAAACAAGAACATTATTGAGAACCATAACTGCAGAATTATATTAAGTTGCAGAATCTTTTTTCTTTTATGGCTGTTTAGAAGGAATGGTAAATGTGCATTAAAAAGCCTGCAAGATGAAAAAGTAACACAATGAACATATTCATTAGATCAAGGAGCTATGAGTAGGGTAAATAATGAAAGAATATGAATTATCTGAAAATATCTCTGGTAAGGAACTTCTTTACAAGTGCTGTTTTGAATTTATTTATCCATGAAAGTATTAAGAAACTTTACATACTAGAGGCATTTAAATTTCCTGTTTTTCTTTCCCAACGAATAGGCATAATATTCTGCACAGTAGAGTTACTTTTTTTGATGCTGTTTTTCATTATAAGAAAATGTTTAATATGAAATGATTTCTGTTGAATTCAAGTCATTTTAGTAGCATCAGTTTTAATCTTTTTAGATATATACTTCTTCTGTGTTAGTCCAAGGTTACTTGTTTTAAGATCCAGTGATAGAATATTTTGGTAGTTAGTAGCATGTATTGTTTTATTCTTTAGGGTGATTTTACAAAAGTCTAAGGTTTTAATAATACCAGAAATTTTTACCTTTGTAAAGACTTGAGACTTATTTATATATATATATCTTTAATTAAAAGGTACAATGTAAATCAAAGACTGTTTCTTTTAAAATTCTTATAGGTGAAAATTGAAATTTGGGACGTGAATGACAATTCTCCTTATTTTGAAAGCACATCTTTGACAATCAGTGTGCCAGAAAGCACCGAGTTACAGGTACCTATTTATGTGACACATGCTGAAGATTTGGACAGCAGCAAGAATGGAGCTGTCCATTATCAACTAGTGCAGGAGCCACATGATGTCTTCAGCATTGATAGAGACAGTGGAAGCATTATGGTTTATCATCACCTAGACTACGAGAAGCAGCAGCAATATGTTTTAATGGTTCGAGCTACTGATGGAGGAGTACCCCCACTTTCTTCCACCATGACTTTGACGGTTGAAGTTCAGGATGTTAATGATAATCCACCAGTTTTTATAAAAACAGAATACAATGTAAACATTTTAGAGTCATTGCCAGTGAATTCCCAGTTTCTGCAAGTTACTGCAGCAGACAAAGACACTGGAAATAATGCTAGGCTAACTTATAAGTTAAACAATAGTAAGCTCAGTGACAAGTTTGGGATCTTTCCAAATAGTGGGTTTCTGTATCTAAGAGAAATGTTGGACCGTGAGGAACGTGACCAATACACACTGAGTATCTTTGCTGTGGATAATGGTAGTCCTTCTCAAACAGCAAGTACTACAGTATTCCTACATGTCCTGGACGACAATGACAATGATCCAGAATTTATTCAGAAAAATTTTGTTTTTAAAGTGGAAGAAAATACTGAAAAAGGGAGACTTGTGGGAACTGTATCTGCCACTGACAAGGATCTTGGAAATAATGCATCATTACGATACAGCCTCTTAAATTCCAACAATACATTCCAGATTAACCCTATCACAGGTATGCTTGTTATAGTCACTTATCACAGAAGCAACATATTTTTGTTCATTGCATAATGTATAAGTTGTATACCTAAAGATAATTGAATTACTGTGTTTTACAAACTTATGTAATAATTACACATATTGTCATGCAGTTGGTAAGACATAAACATGGCTTAATTTTATATTCAATGAGATTTTAACATCTTTTTCATAAAGATGAAATAGCAAATACAGAAGTTGAGTACATTATATTGAAATGATTTTGGAGCCTTTCCATGTGGTTACAGTCCATGTTGTCATCTCTGATTATGTTCTTTGTGATTACTTTGCACCTTGACAATAGTTCTGCAGCATAGTTTCTATTGCACAAGGTTCCATCTTAAGGCTATCATATCCAAAGCACACTCTTCCCCCCTCCAGGTTTACCATAAGTTATCTAGTGTTGAAGGATGATGGTTTTCTAGTACCCATTTAAACAGTTTAGTCATACAGAAATCCATAAGTGCTGTGTCTGGTGACTTGACAAATATGTCTTTGTAAGAAATAGCACAGATATTATTTCATTCTCTAGCTTCTTGTGGTATGTGATGGTTGAATGGGAGGTATGACTGGAAGATTTATCTTGATGAACCCATATCTTGTTGGCCTTGTATGTGGACAGAGATCTTTCTTGATTGCATTATATACTGTTGCTTGAGTTACATGGATAGCTTTTGTAACTAACCTTTGCATTGGTGAATTCTCACTCTTTACAAGCTAGCATGCTTTGCTTACCACAGCTGGGTATGACTTTTTACAGCTCTCTTTCTGGATAGTCCTGGTACCTAAAGCTGATTCATACTCCTTTGACTTCCAATGCCATTAAGTACAAGGGATAGCCCCCCCATCTTGGAAATTCTAAATTCTCTGATCTGTGCGTATGAATATCTTATGTTGGAAAAGGCTGTTACATACCCTTCCAAAAAATGATCAGTTTTTGGTGGCATCAAACTACCTACAAAACACTAAACAATATCAAAATATACATAGTTCTGTTACATTATGTTCCACTGCAGTTTTATATAGGCTGTGGTTGTCACATAATTTAGTGACTGGGATATTCAAAGTCTTTTTATTATACTGTACTCAGCCTCTTGTATAAGCTAAAAGTCACATACTACAGTTGTTGCTTATTAAGGATTATTTATATGTTAGTAAACCTGGGTATGTATTGTGAATTAGCTGAGTATCATGCAGTATATATATTATGCACACAAATAGGTCATATTCTTTATTATATACATTTAAAAAACAAGTAAACTATTATATTTTTGGTTATTGTTTTCATCAGGTGAACTCTACACAAAGCACACTTTAGACAGAGAAAAGCAGCCTGTTTATGAATTAAGCACAGAAGTGCGAGACCAAGGTACACCATCCCGATCAAGTCAAGCCATAGTACAAGTCCAAGTGACTGATGTCAATGACAATTCCCCTGTATTTGTGGAACCCACAGATAGAGTAATAGAAGTGAGAGAGGAACAACCAAAAGGAACAGAAACCGTTCGTGTTCATGCAGTAGATGCAGACGAGGGAGAAAACTCTTCAGTTGTTTATGATATTGTGCCAGGTAGGTAAATTCCACTGGATTCTTAAAGAACCATAAGTACTTATTCAACATTGTTTAAACTAGTTTTTGTCTTTGTAGTTAACTGATTTACAGGTACATGAAACATCTATAAAAGAGAAAAAGTAAAAATATAGCTTCCATCTGACCTTTTTTTTTCTTGCAGTTTCACTTTATAAGTTCTGTAAGTATTCTTACATAGCTTAGAAAATAATATGACAAGATACTTTAACAAGATTCATTTGAAGTTAAGTCTATTGTATAACAAAACCTATTGTGGTATTTTAATAAAATATTTGCTCTACTTTGTGTTACATCCTGTCATCTTGTGAGATGAATTTTCATTAAATTGTGAAAAAAAAAGTACCTGCATAGCTTAGCAATATAAGAAGCAAAATAATGTTAAAATTAATGTTACTTTTCATAACTTACATGTAATTCTTGGATTTATTTTACAAAACCACATATAACTTAAGTAACAAAAAAAACTTATAAATTTGTTCTACTTCTGTAGGGACAGAGAAGAGTGATGGTTCTTCTGTATTTTCCATTCACAAAACACAAGGACGCATCACAACAAAACGTGTGTTAGACCATGAAGATCAACAGGCTTACATCTTAACTGTTGTTGCTCGTGATCATGGTCTGCCCCAACATGAGACTTTTCTTCAACTAAAGATAAAGGTTCTAGATCTAAACGACAACCAACCAATTTTTCCCACGTCAAGCTTCACTTTTCGTATTGCTGAAGGGTTTAAAGTTGGTGAAGAAGTTGGATTAGTACAGGCAGTGGACCAAGATGGTGGAGAAAATGGACGGATCACATACTCCATTCTTGGAGGAAACCTATATGGAGTTTTTGATATTGACAAAACCTCTGGCAGCTTGTTCACGGTGAGAGAGATTGACTATGAGATGACACCTGAATATATCTTGCAAGTGAAAGCCTTGGATAGCAGTACTACTAACCCCCGCAGCAGTGTGATAAGTGTGAAAGTAGATATTGAGGATGTTAATGACTGTGCTCCAGTGTTTGAAGCTGACCCTATCATCTTCTCCATACCTGAGAGCACTGAACCTGGTTCAAATGTCTGGAAATTTACTGCTACTGACAACGACAGTGGAGTAAACAGTCTTTTAAAATATGCTATCACTCATCAGTCACCAGCCAGTGTTTTTAAAATTGACCAAAATACAGGAGAGCTGACATTAACACATACATTAGATTATGAAGAGTTCCCTGAGTACACGATTGTTGTTACTGCAACTGACCAAGCAAAGAAGGTTGAACAACGTCAAGCCACTAGCGTAACTTGTAAAATGATTATTGAAGATGAAAATGATAACAGCCCTGTGTTCCAGACAAGAAATCAAGTTGAAGTGATGGAGGATGAACCTGTAGGTTTTCCTTTACTTAACATAATAGCTACAGATAAAGATGCTCGTGATAATGGCCATGTTTCATACACCATTAGTAAAGGTAATGAAAAAGGCCACTTTGCCCTGGACCATGAAACAGGTAAATATTTGTAGTTAAGCTTTCTCTTAATTGATTTTTACATGTTAGATATTCTTAAATAACATTTGTTTTATGAAATAAATCACATCAATTTTACTAGGTTGTATCATTACAGGTAAGTGAATGATATCATGTCAGTACTTCACCTGTACCTTTTCCTATGCTCTTTCATACATGTCTGGTTGTGAAAAGATAATGATATAATAATTATAATACACTTATTTATGTATACAGTACAAATACCAGCCTTTCTTAAAATATATTCCAATAGTGTTAGTGTAGTTGAACAATTGTTTTACAATTATTTTAACCTATGGATTTGAAACTTAGTGTATTTTCCATTAACATTTTGTTTATTTTAAAATTCAAACACAAACTAAACATTACTTTTGGATATATTTGAATGAACAACAAGTAATATTTTGAATTAAGTTTTATTTGGAGGTGGCATGGTACACATTTTTACTTGTCACTAGCTGTGTACTCGTCCTTCGTACAGGTTGTGTGTATAAATAATACATTAATTTAACAATTAACAAACAAATTACATGTACATTATTTACATTACATTTTACATTTTTTATTGTACATTATTATAACAATTAAATATAAGTTAACAAAAGATACTGTGGACCATGTGTTAACTGCGTCACTTAGAAAAAATGGAAAATGTCAAATTGTGATGAGTTGTACTTGTTTGTTTGTAGTGTATCACACATCTGTGAAAAAAATTAGTTTTATTTACTGAAGAGCCTCTTGATAGACGACATTGGAAGTACGTTCACCTGGGGCATGGATAAATAGGCTGCGAGAAGATCTGACTCTTGAGCAGGCTACATATAGTTTTTAAACTAAAAGGATAGTGTTCATAAAAAAGAAAGAACGCAGTTCGCGAGTCAAGCGCAAAAGAGCAATGCCGAGTGGACGGGCGAGCGACCCTTAGCAAAGAA